ACAACTTTATTTTCTTCTAGCATAAAAAATTTTTTTCAGGTTTATCTATTAGCTGGCTCAAACGTAGAAACAAACATGTCTCTACTAATCCCTAGTTTCTTTGTGTGATACAGTCAAGAAATACGTATTTTTAAAGACAAATTATGTGTTCACATAATTATTTGAATTCCAATTTAATATTTAAAGGTTTCTATTTAATTTTATATCAAATTTCATTTTGAGGCACGAAAGATCTTGGTTCTAACTACAATAACTATGCATTAACTATATTAGAGTATTTGTTTATATTATATATTATATACATACATATATATAGTTTCAAAGAATGCTAATAATGAGCTTTTGCAGTTATTTTTATCTTTAGGATCTATATGCAAATATATACAATCAAATTATCATACATAAAGTCATTTGAGATAAATCCTTGACATATAGTCATATTCATTTATTTCATTTTACCTTTGATTTTTAGGTATTATTATTTATTTTATTATTATTTTTTTTTGAGATGGAGTTTCATTCTTTTTGACCAGGCTGGAGTGCAATGGTGCAATCTTGACTCACCACACCCTCTGCTCCCAGGTTCAAGCGATTCTCCTGCCTCAGCCTCCCGACTAGCTGGGATTACAGGCATGTGTCACCACACGTGGCTAATTTTGTATTTTTAATAGAGACAGGGTTTCTCCATGTTGGTCAGGCTGGTCTCGAACTCCCAATCTCAGGGGATCCACCCGCCTTGGGCTCCCAAAGTGCTGGGATTACAGGTAGGTATTAATTTTAAAAATTTTATTTTATTTTATTATAAAACATTTACATGGTTCTAATTGTGTATTCAGAGAAGTTGCCTTCTTCACTTGTTTCCACCTCCCACTTATAGAAAAATATTTTTTAGCTTTTGGTTTATCCTATCATTTAAAAGACATGAGAAAAAAGTATATATTTGCATGGGTTTTACAGAATGAATAAATCACATTCACAGCTTCCTCTTTTCTGAATAAATGGAAGGCCGTTGTACAAAACCCAAAACTTTTGTCCACTTTGATTTTTTTTTCTTAATCTATCTTGCAGATCACCTCATAAGTGTATATATTTTCTTGATTTCTCTTTATATTTACATGTTATCACATAACATAGATAAGTCATAGTTTGGTAAACCATTCAGTTAATGGACATTCAGGTTGTTCTTCAGTTTCTGTGTAATATCTTTTTTTTAAATACATTTGGCATATTGCATATATATCTCTTCTCTAATTGTCTGAAAATAATTTGTTTTTCTGTGTATAAAAAAATGCCTGGCATAGAGCAGATACTCAGTAATTATGTTTTAAATAAATAAATAAATAACAGTTAAGAAATAAACTAGATTACATATTAATTTCATATTTATAAAAATTTTCAAACACCATATTTCTTTCCAGTTAATTTCATTTTTTTTAAACAAAATTCATTGAAGAGTAACCTGACATTTGCTTTCTTCATTTCTTTATTTTCCATTATAGCTTCTGTTCCTATAAATCTGCTGCAATAGATCTGGCCAAGGGTAAACCCACTGTTTTAAAAAAATCTAATGGATGTTTTCAGAACTTAATTTTACTATGATTTACCTTAGCATTTGACACAATTAATAAGACTTTTTTTTCTTAATTACATTACCACACTGTCCCAGTTTGTGGACTCCTTCTCAGCTGGTTTTGTTAATTTCTCAATTTCCTCATAATACAACATTTTTTATTTTCTCAGAATTATATTTTGCATTTCTTCACTTCTCTCTCTGTATTATTCCCCTCCTGTCATTACTTTTCATTTAAACTTGACAGCATCTCTATGAGATGACATCCAAATTTACATCCCTGCCAACTTCTTACATGAATTCCAAACTTACATGTCAAATTTGCCTTCAAAATTTCCACATAGGTACTCCCAAGGTATCACACCCTTAACATGTGCAAAACTGAAGATGTAATCTTTAACTTCCCCCCATACACAATAGCTGTTCTCCAATCCTCCATGACAGTTCTTATAACCAGAACATTCATTTTTTTAAACCAGAAATCTAACATTTTTATACTAAGTATTCCAGGTACACTCATTTTGTTCCAACATGTGTACTTTCTCTTCTCTCTGGTCACTTACATGACACTCATATGAGTCATCGTCACATCTTATTCATACTACTCCAGTAACTCCATTCTTTTTCTACAAAAATCCACTCTCAAGTAGGTATGGTAGCTCATGCTTGTAATCCCAGCACTTTGGGAGTCTGCAGTGGGCAGATCTCCTGAGGTCAGGAGCTCCAGACCAGCCTGGCCAACATAGCAAAATCCCATCTCTACTAAAAGTACAAAAATTAGCCATGCGTGGTGGCAGGCTCCTGTAAACCCAGCTACTCAGGAGGCTAAGGCAAGGAAATAGCTTGAACCCAGGAAGCGGAAGTTGCAGTGAGCTGAGTGTGCCACTGAACTCCAGCCTGGGCGACAAGAGTGAGACTCCATCTCAAAAAAGAAAAAAAAAAAATCTACTCTGTAATGAAAGCCAGCGATTTTTTTCAAAATACAAATAAGATCATATTAATAAATCTCTATTGCACTTTACATAAAAATCTAAGTCCCTTATCATTACTGACAAGCCCCTGCACCACCTGGATCTGTGTTAACTCTCCATTTCTTGCTCTTCTTCCCTGAATTCACTCTATTCAAGACTCGCTGGTCTACTTTTTCTTCCTGGAATGCAGTGAGTTCCTTCCCACTGTTTAGCTTTTGCATATGCTGTTTCCTTTTCTGGACTGCTCCTTCTAACATTTTATGGTCATATCAAATATCATTTCTTCAATGTGGCCTTTGTTGAGAACTCATTCGTGAATAGACTCCTTGTGTTACTTTGCCTGTTCTTTCTCTTGAGAGCATTTTAAACACAACTATTGATTTTACAGTTATGAGTTTGTTTGCCTATCAGATATTTATCTCCTCCATAAGTATATAGGCACCATGAGCACCAGGAAAGTTTCTATTTTGTTCACTACTGTATCCCTAGCAATGAGCACAATACTCAACACCTATTTCTAGATAAGCAAATTAAGTCTTTATATTATATAAACATTAAGAAATGACATCTAATCCTTTCAGTTTAGGAAGATAAAATGTCTTGCAAATGTTCTCACCTTTTGTAAAAGGTAAACCTAAAATACAAAAAATTTGAGGACACTGTCATCCAGAAGAAGCCTCCGTGATATCTTATCCAAATGACTTCAGGAGTCACCTCACTGGTTACCTCCTTTCCACCCTGTTCCTGCTAAAATTTGCTCCCCACAAGTAGCCACATCTGGGAGTCCTGGGTAATTTGACATATTTCAAAGGAAAGGAGAAAAGACAATGCAAAAGTGAAGTACAACTTAGGATGAAGCCTCCAAAGATACTTATGCCCATTAAAATTTGTTTTCCCTTCAAACCTCCTGAACTTCTTAACTGAGAGAAAAATTGCTATGCACAGACCTTCTAAAGAAAGATGAGAGGCTTCCTTGGAAATTAGGAAGTCAATACTGAAATGGTAGTGAGAAGCAGCATAGTCTCCAAAGGGAACTCACAAGTGTATTTCTTTTAATGTTGAAGACACACAGATACGCTCAGCTGACTTTAATCAAGGTCTCCTTAGGCTCAACAGCAGGTGAACTTTCCTAGCACCACAGATAAGTAATTTGCCAACTGGGATAAGTGTGAAAGATACTACAGCCCTGGGTAGCTATATAATCCTTAGAAGTAATTAGTAAGAGATTATAACCTGGCATTCTGCTCACAGCAAAACACCCTGTTATCACAGCAGTGACCTCGATAGGTGTTAAATTGACACCTATTGAACAAGCATCTTAATAAGAGGAACACTTCAGGGAAACAGAAATGGGCTTGTTTTAATGTAACCATCATGTTTCTTATGATGATGATGATATTTAAGTACAGCACTCTTTAACACATTTGTTCAATTGGCATGCTCCATAATCAGTAAAATTATAGGAAAGCAGCACGTTGTTTGAAATTCAGCTCTTTTTTTTTTTAACAATATAAATTAATGTGGGCCATAGAAATGCTAAGCAAAGCACCAGGAAGTTTAACGAGAAGCTGGAGTTTTAAATTTATCTGACATGCCAAATTTTCAAAGACCTTTTAAGAATTTTTATCCCTTTCCCCTTACAGCAGTCCTGTAAGGAAGCTCAGCACTTATTAGCATCCTAATTTTACAGATGAAGCAAGTGGAGATGTAGAGAGGGTAAATGGGCTGCTCAGGGTCTCGCAGGAAGTCAGCGAAGGATTACAGCCTGAAGGTCTTCTTGCTTTCAAGGCAGCAAGAGGAACTGGCTCCATGAAGTTCTTTTCCTAAGTGATAGAATGCGTATGCAAGCATCTATGGACATTTAAAATGAATAGGAACTTTTTAGAAAGTAGTCCTCTTAATATAAAAAGCTCTTCAAAAAAAGTGATTTTCCGGATAGATATAATCAAAGTCACAGGGAATTTTGTTGAGAAAATTTATCTTAAAATTCATAATCTTCCACTTATAAGGGATCTATCTTTGGGCAAAATAACCTCTAGCGACTCCTTTTCTCTTTCCTAAAATTGATTTAGTCACAAAAACTACTCTCACATAGGGTTGGTGAAAAAAACAAAATAATAATAATAATTCATTGAAAGGTCAGGAAACAATTCCTTGAGTGTCTTTTATGTGGCAAGCACTCCAAATACTAAGGCGCAGAGACCCGGTCTCCCTTCAGAAATGTAGCACTACTGAATGTTTTAGGCTGTTGATTTTACATTTAGGCCACCAAGAGTCCTGTGGAAATGTGGAAATATTTGCTTCATGCCCCCCATCTCAGGCACATATTTCCTCAGTAAATCAACCTTTAGTTCTAAAGTAGGAATTATAATAACTGCCCCTGAAGGATATACAGTTCAAGGCAGCTGTGAAGGTAATTCAAATTTAGTTTAATGCATTATTTCCTGAGAGAAACAGACAATGTAAACAACACTAAGCAGGCAGCTCCCAATAGACCATCTTAGAGAAATATGCAGGTGAGTATAAACACTGTAAATAACTAATTAAGCTAGACACCTACCATCTAGATTGCTATGAATTAATGTGCAGAATCTTCATCCTAGTAGAGTTACTTGTGACCTACAAAACATAAAACATCAATGCATTTTTTTAAAGGAAATAAATTAAAATCACATAGAAAATCAAAATATAAACGTATACCAGAATTTGTCTTCAAAATTCCTTTCTGAGCAATTTTAAATAAAGTTTTTAACCAAGTAAGACTTATTGTGCCTCTTTCTGTAAAACATATTTGAGTTTTCAGAACATTTTGATTGGTTTTAGTAAAGTAAAATGTATGAATTCATGGATTTGAGTTTATAAACAGGTATCCTAACTTATTTTACATTTTATAACTAAAAAATGTCAAATGAGTTTAAAATACTATCTTATAGGTACTGTTTTAGTTGTCAATAGCTGCATGACAACGTATCCCAAAATTTAGTGGTTGAAAACCATAAATATTCATTAGCTCATAGTGTCTGTGGTTCAGGGATTCAGATTAGCAGAGTGGAGTCTTCTGAAGTCGCAGTTAGGAAGTTAACAGAGGCTTCAGTCATCCAAAGGCATGATTGAGGCTGTAGGAACTGTGTCTAAGATGACTTACTCATATTGCAGTTGGCAGGAGGCTTCTTTACTTCCTCACACATCAGCCTCTCCATAGCCTACTTGAATGCCATCATAACTTGTCATCTGTCTTCCCCTAGGGCGAGTGATCCAAGAGAGAGAAAGGCAGAAGCCAAGCTGTCTTTTCTGACTTTGTCTCTCAAGTTTCACTTGGTCACTTTCTCTTTTTGTATCTATTCATTAGAAACAAAGAAATAAGTTCATGACTACTCTAGAGAATGTGATAGGCTCCATCTCTTGAAAGGAAAATAATTTGTGTACATATATTTAAACTACCACAGTTACTTATTTTAGAGGTATTTCTAGCATGTGGCTATTAAAGGGAGCTGAGCATGTGTGAGTAACATTGACGTCTCCATGAATTACCTTATCAGTTTAGTGGGGCTATCCAGTGTAGTGCTCAGAGCCCAGATTCTGGGGCCTGGCTTCCCAGGTCACAATCTTGGCTCTAATATGTACTCGCTGTGTTATGTTGAGTAAACTGCTTGGCTAACTTATGCCTCAGCATTTTCTTTTCAAACAGGAGTTAGTAGTTCTTACCTTTGGCTTCTTGTGAGTACTAGCATAATATTGGGGTTCAGAGTGCACTCAGCTCCCCTGAGAGGGCGTTTCTCCAGGTTCTTGGTCTCCTGCCCTCTCAAGAATGAGAGAGAACACAGACTCAAAAGTGTTTGTAGAAAGTGATTTATTGAGAGAGAGAGAGAGAGAGAGAGAAAGAAACAGCTAACTTTCACAAAGTGAGAGAATCCAGAAAGATGGAATCCAGGAGAGGAAAGCAGCTTCCACACTGAGTAAAAGCGGTCTTAGAGAAGAAAGATACAGAGAAAGATGGAGTTTAGGAGGGAAAGACAGGCTTTCACCAGAGAGTGTGGAAGCTGACCCCTGAGGGGAAATCCAGGAGAGAGAAAGACGGCTTCCAAGAACCGTTGTGGAAGAGGACCCAAACATGGAGTCCAAAGGGGTGTGGAAGAAGGGGACTTTTAACCCGCCTTCTCTAAGACCCCGGGCCAATGAAAGGAGTTCCCAGAACTTCCGCAGGAGTGATTGCCTCTTAGTTTCTTGCGGCTTCCTTTCCCTCAGCCGCACCAGCAAAGGAAAAAAGCCGCTTGCCGCCCTCACTTTAAAAGCCTTATTTGCAGCCACTGCTGGGCGGCCGTGAGTTCCCCCGCCCTCGGGGCTTTTGGTTGCCATGTTGACCCCACCAGAACAACGTGCTCGGTTGGGCCACGCCCCGAGCCACTGCCCACACAGGGACCCGCAGCCGGCACAGGCCAAGGACCCGGGGAAGCATTTTTTACACTGCTGCCTGGGACTGAGGAGCACTGGAGAGGCCTGCCAAAACCACGCACCAGGCTGTGGTGCTCCCTGGTACCCTGTGGGCGTGGGCTGTACCTTGCCTCTCCCTGCTGTTTTCTCCCAGCCTGTGGTGCTGGCAGCTACTGAACGCTCCTGGGCCCACGCGGGGGGCTGGGCCGTGGTCTCCGTCGGTTCCCATTTCCGGCCCACAAGGAGCAGTGCTCGCTGGCTCCGCCCCACAGGAAAAAAACTGCGCTTTAATTCAGGACAGCCTGGCAGCCGCTTAACACAGGCTGCGTTGTGCCTCCGAGGCGCTGCCGCTCAGGTTCCCCTCAGCAAGCTGCTGCTGCTTCAGGTGAGACAGGACGGAAGGGGGCTGGTTTTACTCACGGTTTTGAAGTGTTTTTTTTCTGGCTGCATCCCTTTCCTGGTGTCTCCCTCTTTCTGGTGTACCCCTCTCCTGGCGTAACCCTCTACTGGCTGGCTCACCAAATGTAGTATTGGGGTTCAGAGTGCCCTCAGCTCCCCTGAGAGGACGTTTCTCTGGGTTCTTGGTCTCCTGCCCTCTCAAGAATGAGAGAGGGGACCACCACAGTGCGCGGTAAATGTCGACTCAAAAGTGTTTGTAGAAAGTGATTTATTTAGAGAGAGAGAGAAACCAGAGGAGAGAGAAAGAAACAGCTAACCCTCACACTGAGAGAATCCAGAAAGATGGAATCCAGGAGAGGAAAGCAGCTTCCACCCTGAGTGGAAGGGAATAGAGAGAGATGGAGTATAGGAGGGGAAGACAGGCTTCCACGAGAGAGTGTGGAAGGGGACTCCAGAGGGGAAATCCGGGAGAGAGAAAGATGGTTTCCACGAAGGGAGTGTTCGTGGAAGGGGACCCGAACATGGAGTCCAAAGGGGTGTGGAAGAAGGGGTCCTTTAACCCACCTTCTCTAAGACCCTGGGCCAATGAAAGGAGTTCCCTAGAACTTCTGCTGGAGTGATTGACTCTTAGTTTCTTCTCATGCCTGAGAAGTTTAAACATAAACCGTTAACTCTCCCGGATTGAGACAGATGGGGTGGGGGTCGGGCGTGGCGCTAGGAACTTCTTGCCCTTAAAACTACGCCCTCTGTGGACCCAGAAAGAGAACACCTTCCCTCACTGTGAACAAATATTAAAAAGTGCTTAGAATATTGCTTGTTGCATTATAAGCTTAATAAGCTTTAATGATCACTGAGTTGACTTTAATTGTAGTAGCTCAGCCATATAGGAAATGACTTTATTTCTATAGTCAAAAATATGTTTTTCTTTGTCAAAATAGAAATTTAGATTGAACCAGTAGACAATAAACATATCTTACCTGACACAACACAATTGATTAGCCGGTATTTAAAAATGCGCTATTTCATTTTCTATTTCCACAAATACTTACTGCCTAATCCCCAATTTTGGGGTGAGTCTCTTTGTTGTTTTTGTTGTTGTTGTTTTTATTCCCATAGGTAGTTTTATTTTTAAACCATTAAGAAAAGATTTAATGTATTTAATATTTATTCATCTTAAATGAATAATTCAAGTAAAAACAATGCTGTCTGAAATTAGTTTGGTTGATGTGCTTTTCTCTTTCCAAAAACATGGCTCTACCTGAGTGTCCTTGGTTTTTATTCTTCTGACAAGCTTATCCCTTACTATGCTGTGTTTCTTTACGGCTTGATTGCAGTGTGTCAAAACTGCTGGGCTCTAATCATGAACCTCCTTTTAAAGATTCACTTGCTTCCCAGTAGCTGAATACTTACATCCATCCGCCAACTGTTTCTGCCAGTATCCTGCTGCCTTCTCATGTGAGGAGCTCCCAAGCCCTTTCTACTTCAGCAGCTTAATGAATGCTTTAAGTTGTGAATACTGTTTTCTCTATGAGGCTAGGGCCATAAATCCTTCCAAGTCTGCCCTCTCTATGTTAGACATAGGACAAAAATACACGCCCCTCCTCCCCACCTCAACTTTCTTTCTCCTGGCAGATCAAAAAATTATCTTAGCTGTTTGAAACTAGCTATTACCAATCCTGCATCTCAATGTCTCTCTCTGCCTCCTGTTCAGAAACAAATATGATTTTTGTAGAAGCAACTTGTGATAGCAGATCTGTCACACACCAAGGTAATCATGTTGGGGAAACTCTTCCAGGACTGCAGAGTAGAGAAATGAGTTATGTGTAAATAAACTGGTTAGTTGCAAACTTACTTTCAAGATTTCCTTTTCACTTCCTTTCTGAGAGTATCTGTTTATTTCCTGGTAAGACAAAGAAGGGTATTAAATCACATTTTCTATCTTATAATTTGCAAAGTTTTGGTATTGTTAGGTATGGGCTACTAAGTAATTTTAGTTTCCATCCCCATTTCTACCCCACTGTATATGCTTCCACCTTTAAACACACACACACACACACACACACACACATACACACACACACACACACTCACTTTATCCCAAGGTGGAATCACACTTGGAATTAAAGTATTCCTTAAATTATTGCTTCCTGAAATTAATATATATTGTTGCATCTATTCAAGCATTAACCACATAGGGACAATGCTCCTAAGATTTGAGATTGGACTATCTGGATATACATACTGTCTGCTCCACTCAGCACTGGGTATAATCAGGTAGATTACTTAATTTTGTTAACTATTGCCTATATGTAGAATGGAGATAGCAGAACATCTATGTCATATGATTATTGTGAAGACTAAATATGATACAGTAAGCATATAACATATTGCCTAGTAATTGGAAATCATTCGTTGTATTTCAGCTATTAATTTATAATTATTATTGCTATATCACTAGTAACAAATATACTTCATTTATTAAAAGGACTAAAAATGGTATTTTACTTTATGGACATTGAATCTCAATGTGGCCAACCAACTCTTTATTAATGACTCTCATTTCTAATTTTTTGATATAAAATGTGATGCTATTGATGGACATTCTTGTACAAATATCTTCACATTTGTACAAGATGCATGGCTATATATTTTTTGCAATATTTCCCAAATTATCAGTAGTCCTACAAAGAATGACTAAGCAGAAATTAAAAATTTTTACTTCTATAAAAGTGTTTTTGTCATTATTTTGCTGAGATGTTTACTAAAA